ACAGACAGAAATTACAGTATCTTGCATTTAAACCTAGGGAAAATATATAGATACAAATCAAGTAGCGTTCCTACAACTGGTGTTAGCTTTCAATCTATATAACTCAAGATAGGCCTAAGGATTTCAGTCTTAGCTCCTCTATCATTTGGTAATGCCAGTGTAATCTTCTTAGGCTACAGGGAAGGTAGACATTTTTCTTTATTGAGACACAACAAGGCCACTTTGACTGACACAGGAAAGAAAATGGTTCTCACAGACACACTAATTTACAAGCAAAACAAACTAAGAGCGTGAAAATAACTATATTTCAAAATTTTGAATAAGCAGTAAGTTCAATCTATTTATGCATCTGACTCTTCACCTGCTTATTGCAAGCTTTTCCTCCCATTTTGCTTATTAGCATGCCCTCCTGTTTTAAAAAAAAGAAAGACAAAGACTTGTTTCCATGAAGCCAGCCAGCAGATACGTTCTGCAGGATGGAGTGGACCTTCTTCTGGCTCGAGGGCTGCCAGTGGAAACAGCCCTGGCCCTGGCCAGCCATCCGGGCAGAGGCAGCCACCTCCTCCTTTCCCCAGCTCAGATGGTCACCCCGGAGCTGGTGACCTCGTTGCTCTGTAAGTCATGACGATTCAAATGAGCTGGGTCAGCTTAAACAAGTAACTGGTCTTGGCCAGCCTGGCACATTTAGATTGCAAGGGCGTAGGGAACATTTACAAAAGGCAGCTCTGCCACTCGACCTAAGGGTCTGCAATTCTCCAGCAAGAGCTCTGAGGGCAGGATGGGGTTCAGTGGCACATGTATAAACCTCAGAAAAACTTTTGTGACTGCTAGTGAGGTCCCAGTCCAAAGTAGAGTGACTTTACATAACTCCTCGATTAACAAACAGTGCTGCTACAGGACAGTGTTGGGGTTTTTTTGTAACTCAGAATTTTAAATAAGCAGACAATTTTTTCTCACCACACTTTCGAGTGATAGGATTTGTTATCGAACCATTTTATGGGCGGTGAGAAAAAACAGAAAAGGAAAGAGAGTTCAGAAAATTTTTGAAATGCTTTGATAATTTAGTTTAAAACTGGACTACCTGACACTGAAAATAACTTCTTTCTAGACACGCTGTAGGGTTTACAGAAAGTTTCTAGCAGAAACTTTCATCCTGCACTTTCCCACCACCCCCACTTGACCTATAGCCATCTTTAATAGGGGAGAATTCCATATGCCATGTGTACTGCAGGACATGGTTAGACTGAAACATGGGGAAGCTCGATGTGCTCAAATTTCTTGGGGTGAAACTGGCACCCTTAACGAGGCTATCACTGCAGTGCTGTTTGCACTGAGAATTCTTTACAAACGGATCAATTTTCACAGCAATTCAAGGAAATAGAAAAGTCATCCTTATTCCCACTAATGAGACGAGAGATAGGTAGAAAGAAGATAAATGACTTGTCTAGAACCATTCAGCAAGTCAGAATATAGCTAAAACTTAGATCTTTTAACAAACAGACTAAAAAAAAGTTCTAATCCTTTACTGCCCCATTTCCAGATCTGTAAAGTGGTATTAACAGTGGGGTTTGTAAGTTTATTTCAAGCAGGTTTCACATAACAGTTTAGATTTGCTTAACTATCAAAGCAAAATCTGGACAAAACCCACCAAATTAACACCATTTTACCCTAATCTGGTTCCTCGCCAAAGCCTGTAGCTCAAACCAGGTACATCAAAAAGCCCCAAGCCTCAGGCAAGAAATCCCAATCTAGTTTTGCCGGCGTAGCTAGAGCAGTGCCCTTTCAATGTGAAAACGGATCGTAGCGTGAGCCTTGTGTTCCGGCTTCTCACGGGCACTAGGTTCAGAGTGAGAAAAAACTACAAATGCAAAGAGTAATCCCGAGCCTTCATTCCAGCATCTGGCACTCAGAATAACCAGCCCGGTAAGCAGATGTCTGCTGAAAGCACGTGCAAAATCTCCAAGATGAAGACTCTTATTTAGAGTAAAAGATTCTCCCAGCAGTAAATGAAAAATAACTGCCAACACCACATGCATCATACAGTACAACTCAATCCTTAAGGAAAGCTGCAATCTGAAATTCCTTCTGAAGTTTATTGGCGTGGCACTATCGTACGTACCTGTTCACCACTTCTGAACTTAGACACGCACCTCATCCAGAAGTCCTTTGAGTCACATACACAAACAACCGAAGCATTCCTTTCCTTTGAGTCTCCAAAATCCAGCTACTGGATATGAAGAAAGGAAAGAAAGTATTGAGGAATTTAGACTTGAAAAAGAAGAAAGGGAATTTTCTAAACTATCAGAATTCATGCAGCAAAATTTGTTTTAAGATGGAGGACTTTTGTTCTAAAGAATTCTGAGCTCAAAGTAGCAAGGTAGAAGGGAGGTGTTGGATTTTTTTTTTTTTGGTGTTGCTTAGGGCTCATTTGGACTGAGAAATGACAGACAACCCTGGAAAATTCTTCACCCTTCAACCACCTGGCTCTCCTTGAGAGACATTAAACACCCTTAGTACGTAAGGTGCTGTCATTCCCTTTCTCCCACCTCTGCTACCGAGTTCCTCACCTGCTGCCTGCGCTGGGTAAGACGTGTTGTACTGCAGCACGCACAACAGTCCTGGTGACTTCTGCTTTGTAACCTAAGTTTGCAACTCCTGATTTCAGACACGGCTCTGCTACGTAATTGGCATAACTTGTATAAACAATGTAAAAGGAAACATTCCCTATCTCTTCTCCCACAGCCAAAGCTTGGGCAAATGGAAAACAAGGCAGGAAGAGATCGGGGTAAATTGACTGCGTAGCATGAATCAACCTGTGAGTTAGCATGGTACAGGTGTCTCTTCTACAGAGGTCCCAAGGGTGCAGGAAAATGTGCCCATTCTTGCAACACAGATCCTTTCCCCTGCAGCACCTTGCACTTGCCAACTGCACGCCTCCCTGACAAAGAGACCACAGCTCCCTCACCTTGGCTCCGCTCTCCCCCTTTTCTTTCTGCCAGATAAAGCATCCAGCACCTGGTGCCAGCCAGAGGATGGAATTCATCAGGAGCGTTTTGAGGATCAACACGCGGGATCCATCCTATATAAGCTGATTACAGGATTTCCCGGGCTCCTGACAGTTAACAGCACGCAGCCAGAACGCCAGATGTCAAGCGTTGGAGGTATGGCTCTGACAAAACCAGGCTAAGGCAAAAGGCCCTAAGATTATCCGCTCTGGAAGGAATGTCATTGACTGGCTGTGAAGAGAGCGCTGCAATTATCACGCTGGGAAATGGTAATTGACTTAAAGCAAGTAACGCATGGCGAGAAGAGGGACTGACTCTCAGCAGCAACGTCGGTAGCTAAGTTAATTGTGCATTGACTAGAAGAGCAAAAGAATTACCGGGTACAGATTGGTGAATCACCAAGCCGTGCCCGCTGTAACAAACATGACAACTCCCTTCATCCATGCTATAAAAGATCCATCTACAATTACCTCTGGAATTCACCTGCAGGACTGTACTGCTGGTGCATGGCCTGAGCTCAGCCAGGGCACCGGCGGGCGCTGGTGATGTGAGGCAGCCGCCCCAAAATGAGGACGTGCCCTTTGAATTCTCTTTCTTCCGAGTTGGTGTATGCATTCTCAAACGCAAGGGAGGACTTTATTCCTTGTCATTGTAAACCTGTAATTTTTTGTCCTTTTCTTAATAACTCAGCTGACGAGAGGCAGAATGGGGTGCCGCAATCAGGAGGTTCATAGTTACGGAGAAAGCTTAAAAACTTTAAACTTAGAGGTTCAAAATCAACCTGAGAAACAGTGATCTCATCATTTAATATTTTATTATTTTAATCAAAAACATGTTTATTGAGGGAGGGAAGCTTGACTCATTATCTGAGCATCTGGGATTACCAGTACTGTATTTATGAAAGAGGTTGCAGTACATGGCTCTCTGCAATTGCTCTGATCTCTGCATCTGCGGTTCCAGGCTCTACCCGCATTACCCTCTGACAGACGGGAAATCATATGAACCTATTTTCCTGAGATTGCCCTTAGGAATCAACCAGCTGAGTCTTGCAAACCAGTTCTATCTGCGTGAACTGCGTACACTCATCAACCCTGGGACTGTTTTTATTAACCATATTACCAGAGCACCCATAGGCCTTCCACAGAACCAAGCCCTCGGCACCCTCGATACCACACAAACACTGCCAGTTACCGTTCCAAGGACTTTACAGCCTAATTCAACACAAGAATATGCATTTGCATATAGGAAATACATACGAGAAGCCCGTGTCCGGTCTCAGGAGAAATGCCAGGCAAAAGGGCAGCACTTCCACAACCCGCCAGCGCGAGCCCAGCACCTGCTTATGTACTTTCACAGTGGGTGGTTTGTATTTTTTACTTACTTGTACTGTCGGCTTACTTGTATTTGCTTCGTTATGTATGTATTTTAATGTTTTGTTATTTCCTGTGGAGAAGCCTAGTGCGCTTACTTTTAAAAAGAGTGAAAAGTTTGCTGACATATCTGTGAGAAATTAAGAGCAGTTTTTTGTTTTTTTGTTTTTTTTTTTTTTTTTAAACAGCTATATAATCATCATCAAGAGCAATGTTGTAATAACTGCGATTTTACAACGTACCTATAAAACACGGTCTGCCTTTGGGATCCGAAGCACTTGACGCTGAACACCCAGCGCTTCTCACAGCCCTCACTCCTTCCCGCAAGTGTCACCGCCTCTGCCTCCCTAAACCGGGAGACTCCGATTTAACCTCCCGCTCCCAGCTAACGGCGGGGCTCGGCGGACGTGGGGCTCAGCACCCACCCGAGGCACCGGGTGGGACCCGCGGCAGGGAGCCGGCCCGCCCGCCGCCCTTCCCGCCTCTCACCCCTCACGACGCCCTGAGGGGAGGCGATGGCGGCGCCGCGCCCCGGCAGCCCCCGTCCCACGGGCCCCTTCCTTGCCCCTCAGGGACTCCCGCTGCCCCGGGGAGGGGAGGAACGCGTGGGGAGGGGGGAACTCACCCTCTGTCGCCGGCGATCGCGGGGCGTGAGGCGGCGGCCGGTCCCCGGCTGGGCGGGAGGCGGGCGGAGGTGGGGCCGGGGCGGGGCGGGGAGCGGGCGGCTCGGACACCCCCCGCGGGCGGTGCCGCGGAGCCCCGGCGAGGCGGGCGGGGGGGGGGGGCCGCGGTTCCCGCCCGCGGCGGGGCTGAGCCCACACCTGAGGGGAAGGCGGCGGCCCGGAGGCCGCAGGGAGAGCTCCTGGCCCCGGGAGGGGGGGCTCCCCGGCGGCGGGGAAAGGGGCGGGCGGTAGCGGCCCTTCGCCCTTCAGCGAAGGTGGGGGGAGCTGAGGTTGTGAGGTAAAAAAGTTTTCGAACTCGGTGTGCGGCTTCAAGGTGTGGGGCACCTGCGCTGAGGGGACCGTAAGTGAGAAAAAGCGCCGTTTTCAAGCCAACGTGAAGGAAGCCTGGCAACGCAGGAGCCTGCGGGGAGGAAGATGTCTGCCGGCGTTATCCACAGGAACAGGCTTGACCCTTCAGCAGGTCCCGAAACATCCGCCTCACCCCTGGGAGCTTTGCCGGGGCCTCCCTGGCGTCCAGGTCGCCACTGAAACGCCCCAGGACTGGCCTGACTCCGGTATCAGAAGCATATAAAGTACGAGCTGATAAAGTAGGACCACCGGCTATCTTCAGCCAACACTATCAAAGGTTTGCATTTTACAATAAATTCAGCCTCCATTGAGCTCAGCTCTGCTGGAAGATAAATTGGAAGTATTTAAGTTGTAGCAAAAAAAGTATTTTCATCAACAGCCATAGATTTGCAGCGACTTTTTCTAGGGATGCAAACCCCTGTCCTCAGCTTTTCGCTCTACTCTTATGTAAGCTGAATCTTGGGAATGGCTGCAATAATTTGTGTTGCTTTGAGAAAGTTAATTGACTGATGCAATCCCACATTCTGAAAAGGAAATTGTAGGGATACACTTGCACAGTCTGCTCTATAATTGAGCTCATCCTTCAGGCACAAGCTTTATCTAAGAGATCTTAAAGAGTGCATCTTTTTGACTCACGGGAAAAGTTCATACAGCGTTTGCCCTTCTCTGCAGGACGAGGGGGGAATGCTTGGGACGCCCCAGCTGCTCTCCCTAACATAAACCATCTAAATTGGAAAGCCTCTTCTTTCTCCAGTGGGGCCAAAGCTCTCCATCCTGCAGGCAGCAGCTTCTCACGGAGCGTGAGGAAGGAAAGTGCCTCCTCTGCAACGAAAGCACGGCAATGAAAAGTTCATTCTGATTCAGAAATAACCGACCCCAAATCTTAACAGCCCGATTGCTGCTAGGATGGTGCTCTGTCCTGCTAAACACACTGGGTTAATCAGTGTGATTGGATCAGTATATCCAACTAGTTAGTGCATCTAAATGCTTAGTTGCTCGGCTGTGTGTACCTAGGTCTCGGAGGCCCGTACTTGTCACGCTGGCCATCGGTCACCAGCGGCCACCCATCACCAGGAGCACCCCCAGAGCCCGGCTGCGGGCGGCCTCCTGTGCTTCTGGGTTCCCAGCAGGCCCCAGGCGAAAGCAGCATGAGCACAGCTAAGCAATGCTGCAAAACCACGTAAGCCTCATCAGAAATCTACTCGGCAGCAAAACTAGAGCAATCCGTTTCTACAGGAATTCTGGAGCGCCAGAAATTTGCATTGCTGCATAGAAAAGTAATAATATAATTGAGAAATGCTCAAAGTAATAGCTACGGAAAATAAGCCGTTTGCAAAGCTCCTGAGTATGACTTAAGGGCGGTGGCAAGGACGCAGGCACTTTTACTCCATTACCTATATAAAGTAAGTGGAAGAGTCTCCCTGCCATCCTCCAGGCTACTGAAAAAGAATAGGAAGAAGGAAGATTTCCATGGAGTAGCAGAGAAGATGCAATTATTTTTCAAAAAATAAAATAAAAAAATTCCCGTGTTCATTCCCCAGCGAATCACATCCAAGCTTTCTAATTACTTTCTACACGTTTTGAGGAAGAGCTAAAATTTGGACAGTGGCCTCAGCTGTGGGCTCGAGCAGACTCTGCAGCGTGGTGCCGTTGAGGGGGCTGCTCCGACGGGCACGGGCCGAGTGCCCCTGCAGCAGGGCTGCCGTACGTACGTGTCACACAACATCCACACCACAAAGTTTAGTTCAACTTTATTTTCCACTGTAACGGTTTTCGAATGATACATCATGCAGTCTGCCAGTGTATCCATCCATCTCTGATAGAATTTTAGAACGAAGATAAAAGACTTATCTCCACGGGATGCGGGAAGGAGGGTTCGGGTCTGCTATCAAGAGTTTAATACAGTTCAGCATCGTTTGATGCAATGGCAAAAAATTTCCCCTTGTTACCAGCAAAACGTGTCCACAATTTATTTTTTTTTTTTTTCCTAAATTGAACACTACTGTAAAGATACATAGAGCCCAGAGAATACACATCTGCAGTACACGTTACACACTTTACAAACTAGACATGTATAATTCTACAGAATGCCTCAACCCCCGTGGTTCTCCCACAAGGAAAAGTGTTTCAATGGACGAGATTGTGAGGGCGAGAGAGGAACCGGTGGAGCGGTGACCCGTCCTGCACAGCGGATGCTCTCCAGTGCGCTGCGTACAGGCACAGTGAAGACAAAAATCAAAGCAAGGGTGGATTAAGATTATCCTGCCAATTTATTTTTGGATTCCTTCCACCTCCAATTGAGATGTACTTCGTTCATGCTTACACAACGTCTTTCTCCTCCAGTAACGGAAATCTGATAAGGCCTTTTCCTTTCGGACCTTTACCACCATTTGGTTTAAATACCCATTTATTCAAATCAAATAATGTTCAGCTTCAAATTCTTTGTTTACTTCCAAGCCTTATTGATAAAAATTCCAGGCAAATGTGCATCTTAGTCCACTAGGCTTTACAAAATGAAATTTCAAAATTACTGATAAGGTTCTGTAGGCAGAAATTACTGTAGTAAAGTTTTTTTGTGACTGACTTCTTAGCTTTCAATATATTCAGGATAATCCACTCTCACCCTTGTAGAGTTAAATACAAACTTAAAAATGCATCAGCCAAGATCTTCCCAGGTTTAAAACTTTCCTTGCTTTCGAGAAAACAAGTTGATGAAACGTGAACTCAAGGACAAACACAAGATATTTGAACATATCATTAAGAGAAGCTCCAGTGAGCAGGAGAAACTTTTTAATTACTAGCAAAAAGAACAATATGCACTTTAGTTCCATCTGAAGTACGTTTTCCATTTGTGAACAGTATTTCCACCAAAATTTGTCCCATGCATGACATTTTAGATGTGAAATTTAATTTGCGCCGTACAAATCACAACTTTAAAATTAAGCCTAGAATAAATATAACACAACATTCAAAGAGCAAAGAAAGTAAGATAGCATCAAGTAGTGGGAATAGCAGGAGACAGGTGTTGATCTCTGCAGAGCAGACGCGTGGTTTTCATTTCTATATATAAAATGTGTAAGACTTAAAAATGGTACAAAAGTTGAATATACAATACGCAATACAAACTTAAGTTGCCTAATTAAAATAGGCTTCCAAACCAAGAATCTATATATAAGCAGAGTTAGTTCATTTGACAATAATTTCCAATCGAGTAACTATCTTCTGTATTACTTTTTGACAATTTTAGCCTGAGGCATCTTTTCAGCATTTCAGTTATAGAAAGTCCTCCCACAGTCTTGATGTAAAAGTTAACTTGGAGAAACTTATATTATTTCAGCTAGATGAACTGACTGGCTGATCAGCACTAGCACAATTAAGAGATATCAAAGCTAACTTATTACTCAAGCTGAAGAAAGCTGTCTAAACTGCCATACGTAACTAAGGGTGATGCTGCAAGGAACTTAATACATTTTTTTTTTTAAGCTAATGCTGAACCTACATTATAATTCTGTATTGAACTTTGACTTCGAGAGACAGAACAAAGGTTTTACTACGGTACAAAATCTCTGATAGCAATTAAGTTTGGTATCTTTTCCAAGACAACTGTTTTAGAACCAAAACAAGAGGATCATTAGTTCATAGTAGAAATTTCAGCTCTGAACAGCTGATAAGATAGCACAGAGTAGTTCTGAATTAGTAATTTTATTAAAGATTGCATATGGCAAGTTCACAGTTCATTTTTCTGGCAGTGCACATGCACATAAAGAAAGGAAATACAAAACTTTGGAAAATACAAAATAAATTAAATACATGCAAATTTGCAACTTCATTAAATATTCTTAGCAAAATGCTCCCCAAAATAGTGCAACATTAAAAAAAAAAAAAACAAAACAAAACCCACAGTTAAATTAAGTCCAACTTACTTTGCAACAACCTAAATAATTTCAGTAGAAAAAAAATATCTAAAGTCAATTCACAATCTTTCAAAACACTCTACATTAACTAAGTAGTTCTACGTCTACTAACAAACACGTTCAGAAATTAAAAAAGAAAAAAAATCTATCTCAAATTAAATAAGAGCAAACATCTGCAAAACAAGACCAGAGGGGCTCTGCTCGGCCGTAGCCTTCCTAGAATCCACGCTTCGCTCAGACGTCGCGGTGCAATCTCTGCGCACCCGAAGGAGGAGGGCACAGAAGCGCAGGCAGGGAGGAGGAGCAGCGGCTTCTGCCCGCCAGCGGAACCTTCCGGAATGATTCCTGCGCCCCCCCCTGGCTGAGAAGATGGAAACTTTGTCTGGCACGAAAGAGAGATCCAAGGAAGGCGAGCGGTCTCATCCTTACCCCCGTGCGCACAAGCGGACCAGCCGAAGGACGACTTGCATGTTGTGACTTCCAAAGACGTTCTTTTCCCCTCGCAATACGCTCTTCACCTCCTAGCAAACGCATTCCCAAATTTGGTCTGCGAAGGACAGCTTGAGCAGACAACCCTCACCTCCTTTGGGACTCTCTCTAGATAATTTTTCTAAGGTAGGGGCTGGGGCTTGGGGGGGATTACTTTTTTTTTTTTTTTTTTTTTTTCGTTGCTTTAAGGTAGCGTCTGTTCTGGTAGGAGACTGTTCACTCCCGTAATCTG